TGTTTTAAATATGAATAGTCTAATGGAATTACCAATATGCAGACCAAAAGCTCTACTGCAAAAGGATTGGCTAAAATCAAGGAGTATTGTTGGTGAAAACAACTTTCTCATTATGATGCATCCAAATCCTCCAAAATCACATATCAAGTACAAATATTTCATGGTGAATCACTCTTGTAAATGAATAAAGGAAAGAATGAGGTTATTGTGGTGATTAAGATACCAAATTATTTCTCTTACAGTTTAATATCATTACCAAAGATGCAGAGTCCAAAGATACCCAAAGTGAGAAACTTCATCAGACATTTCCCAAAAGTATTTTTTTTTAAATTTGGAATAAGACAAGGTATATTTCAAGTATGTTGAAGAGAAGAAAATTTTCCACAAGTGAGGAAGAAATATATATGAGAAGAATTTTGGGTCAATTTTATTTATTATGTTCTGTGCTTTGGCCAACTTATAATTTTCAACACAATATATTGAAGGTATGGATGGATTGGGGAGGAAAACAATGGGCTAATTATGTCTTCCAGGTTATATTTAAATTATATTTTAGATTATGCACCGATTTTTCCTTGCATATATGTCCCTTCTGAGGTCATTTGACAAAAAAGATCTAGATAAACAGATTTGTTCTTGAAAGTGAAACCCTGTGATACTATTTTTATCTACATTAAAAAAAAAGGAGGGTGAGGAAAGGTAAGGAGTAATTGGATAAGGGACACAAAAAGTAATTAAATTTCATAATGATGAACATGCTAATAATATTATTTGATCATCACATACTGTGTACAAATACTATAAACTTCACCCTGTTATGTAGTCATTAAAATTGTGGAACAAGTGTTTTAGTGGCTTATTGAGACCACAGACAAAATGTCCCTGATGAGGATTATTTATTTTTATTTAAAATAGCTCTTAATATCACATAGGATGTCATCAATTAATTCCTTTATTTTTTGCAGACAAACTGTTTCACACTCTCGCTTTCTTTCTTTTCTTTTTTTTTCCTTTTTGTCTTTTTTCATGTCCGGCAACGGATCTCAACCCTCAGTGTCACGCCCGTACCGGACCGGGACCGGCAACGGGATCGCAACCCTCGG